TGGTGCAGGTGACCGGGAGACGAAAATTCCAGATTAACAAGGCAACGGAGGAGTGGCCATCGAATTCGTGCAGGTTCCCTGGGATGTTGAAAGATAACTTTTATTTCTGCATCAAATAGGAATGAAATGAGAGTATCACATTGTATTTTATTTCTAGTTGTACCATGTTAATGCACGACTTTTCCATTTGTAACTTGACCACGTAAGAGTTGTTTTTGGATTTATTTTTTTGCTGTATAAACCAGGTTGCTATGGTGTAATCAGGTGCCCATTGAAAATGAGCTTGTATTGCCGAATGAGTGTTACCTCTGCCAAAATAAAACCTGAACCGTGACTTAAAGCTTTCGTGACTGCAGGAATTCATACTCTTTGGGTCTTTCGGTAAAGTCACGTAGATAGAAAAATAAAACATAAAAATCACGATGTTTCGATCGCAACACAAGCAATCGTCCTCAAGTGAAAAAATAAAAAAAATATATAAATATTTTTCATCTGAGGACAATTGCTTGTGTTGCGATCGAAACGTCGTGATTTTTTTTTTTACTATTTTTCGATCTACGCGACTTTACCGAAAGACCCAAAGAGTATAAAACCTGAACCTCAAATCATTAAAGTGCAATAATTACATGAACTAGCACACATTACTTGAAAGGGATAATGCCCAACATATAAGACTGGTGATGGATTGAGCGATAATGGAAGAGAATCCGCCCCCAAGTCGACAACTGTGGAAACGGAGCAACGAAAATTTAGATTTGTGGCATCGCAGGACAACGAGTGATGGAGATGGGGTCGGGAGGCATTCATCCAGCAGTGGAACGGCAACGCCTGAGGATGATGATGGCACTGTCAGAGTATAATATATGAGCTTTTGGAACACCATCCAGTCGCTAAGCTGATTTCCCACTAGCAGTTCAGCACACCCATGTGGAAATCATACGGTCACCCCACCCCGCAATTTCCACTAGGCCAACCCACATCTTGTATATATAAACATTTTATCCCCACCCTCTTTGTCTTAGACGTAACCTCTGATACATTACTGTATACATGCAGTGGCAGAGGCTGAAATATGTTTTAACAAAGAAAAGTAAACAGGAAATAAGTTACACGACGATGCCCCCATAAATGTACAAGACTGCTTTCGAATCACGGATTGTGTAAGCACTTGTTGTCGAAGGCATTTAGTCGTTGGATTCGACTTGATACACGTGTCCAGGGCTTGGTAGTCTCAGCACTGAGAGATCTGAAGAGTGGAAGGTAAGATTGCATGTTTACACACACACACGTTGAAGTAATTTACCAATGCTGTTAATGTGAACAACAATAACACACAATTTGTGACGCACTTATTTTATGAATCGGAGTATTGTTCGATCGAGAACTCGAAGGTGCGGAGCCGGAGCTTAAACACCCTTATTTGTCAGCTTGAACCAGTTGCTTGAAGGTGGATTCGTGCTTGGATACAGGGAATGTACTATCTCGATTTTAAGCTTTCGTGACTGCAGGAATTACTCTTTGGTTCTTTCGGAAAAGTCACGTAGAAATAAAATAAAATAAAATTTTGTTCTACCTTGATGACGATTGCTTGTGCTGAAATCGAAACGTCGTCTTCTATTATTTAATGTATTTTCTTTCTACGTGACTTTACCAAAATAACCAAAGAGAATTGCACTGTTAACGCGTGTACGTTGAACCACTATTGCACCGTACGTAGCCAATTGTGCTAATCAGAGGTGCTGGGGAAGGATGACAAAGTGGACAGAAAAAAAGCAGTTCTGAAGAAACGACTTTTCAATCTGGATGTAAAAGTGCATAAGGACCCAGTGGCTTCCTAACATCGGAACGAAGAGTGTTTCGGACAAACGCAGAGGAGATCATCAGCAAACGCAATGGGAAATAAAGAAGTGCAGTGGGGAGAGAGTTTCTGAAGGCTGCCGGTGCTGCTACGGAGAAACGCCGCTCAGCCAGAGCGGTCCTGTCTTGTTTTTATTATTTTATTTTCATTACACGCTTTTATTTAACTCACTCCGTCTGTTGTCGTATGCTCAAAAACATATTGTAACTCAATTTTTACCCACTTTCTAATGTGCTACTGACTGCAAACTTGGTATACTTATGTCATACTGATGACAAAACTATATTCTATCATGACAAATATATATTTTTAAACATTATTACACGCTTTTTTTACTCTGTCTGTTGTCGTATCCTCAAATCTTGTTGTCTCGGCCTTGCTGTGCGCTGCGTTGCACCGCTAGCTGAGTAGTTAACCTCGCGTCCAATAAACCCTCAGAGCCAGGGTGAACATCCGACTCCAAACGTCATTTATTGAATTGAACGAGGTAAAACTGGTAAGAAAACAGCACAGATACAGCATCTGTTAATACCCGGAAACATCAACACAATGAATGAACACCACAACATCATAACATTGTCTTAGATATCATGTTTCTCGACAATAGATCCTGGATAGACCAGGCACCTACATTACCACTGAATAGCTATACAAGAGCATAAGCTGCTGTGTTACATAAAAGCACATCGTGTATTCATCACACTGCACCCCAAATGTACCACACTACATATAACACTTAACTGAGGATGAGACATTTTGTCATCCTTGCTCTCAAGATCGCAATATAGTTACTTGGGTACAAGTTTGACTCGACTTATTAAATTACAAGTAACATTCAAAATAAGGAAAGTTGCAGGCTTCATTGTTAACTCGGCCTTGTATTTACCATAACAATTGAACAGCATTATAAAGGCATTTACAGCATTATAACGGTCATTTTAACATTATAACAGCATTCCCAGTATTATAAGAACATAAACGAACTTACAGACAATGCTGCTTAATGTCCCACAATGGACAATTACAGCTGGCTTCACTGGGACGCGATTTGTGCCACCATCTTGAATTCTGTGTCATGGCTGACTCCAGCCTCGTGGTTGAAACTGTTAAATCCTAACTTCCTGGTCACGTGACCAAACTCAGCATCAAAACAGGAAATTCCTGTGTACTCACACCCCCACTCCGCATGGAGAAAAACACCTGCCGTAAGGCAGAACACTTGTAACTCAATTTCAACCGTCTTCCCAATGTCGTATCGACTGCAAACTTGGTATAGGTATGTCATACTGATGACAAGACTATATTCTATCATTAAAAATATATATTTTTTAACATTTTACACGCTTTTATTTAACTCACTGTCTGTTGTCGTATCCTCAAATCTTATAACTCAATTTCAACCATCTTCCCAATGTCGTATCGACTGCAAACTTGGTATAGGTATGTCATACCGATGACAATACTATATTCTATCATTAAAAATAAAATATATATTTTTAAGCAATCTTTTTTACGGCTCTAATTGTCGACGCTCAACTCACGGCTGTAAATCGCCACGGTCCCTTACGTCAAGGCAAGCTACGGGGAGCCACGCCGAGGGGCGGGGGTTGTGGAAGGAGAGGAGGGGGTTGTGGAAGGAGGGGAGTGGGATGTGGAAGGAGGGGATGGGGATGTGGAAAGAGGGGAGGGGCGATGGGGGAAGGGAGCACAGGGGGAGGGGCAGCTCGGAGTTGGCCGGGGGTGACGCTCCTTTACGCTGTGGGCAAGCTGCGGGCCCACTTCCTGGAGTCGTGAAGTTATGCAATTACTAGTACGGTACATTTCATTAAAGCGTGTTTAAAATTTTTTTCTGGGAATTATGAGTAAATTGTTTGATGGGTTCCATCGTTCCCCGCGGTTTTGTTTGTTTGTTGTAGTACGGAGTAAGACTGATGACCTTAATCTAAGTTGTCTTGTTGTTGTTGTTTGACATGCATCCCACTGGGATTTTTCCACAGCGTTGGTGTACGGTGTTTTTCTGCAATATTTTGCTGTCTTTTCTTGGATTTTCTGTTTGCACTTAGTCACATATTCACTTTAAGATGTTTTCTTGTTCATGTTTTTGTTTTTTGTTTGTTGCGGTTGCACCCGATTCAAGAGCCGAATGGCTCACAGGGCTATACCTAATATATTAACTTGAACTTGAACTACTGTGGTCAATGGAGTGAGGAGTGTGGAGAGGTACGGCGGGAGACCTTGAGAGAGCGCTTTGTGGCACGGGATAGCAACATTAATTTGATAAATTACCAGCAAGGAAGATATACACGTTTACCATAGAATACTTTTGGGGAAAAAATATTTCGAGGAAGGCTAGTTGAGTTTAATCTCAGAGCACAAAGTTATACATATGACAAATACTATTTATTTAGCTGTACATTTAAATCTGCACTGTGCGTGAATAAAATGGGTTTTTTCTGGATTTGAGCATTTTTTCTTTTCTTTTAAATCTATGTATGGGTTCTGCTTGGTGTTTCTATATATACAACACCACATCGTTAGAATACAAATTCGTGTTTGAAAAAATTAATGTGTGCGTGTTTGTTGAATTTCGTCTGCACCGTACGTATCCATCCATGCTAAAATGCAATTGAATACATTAATGGGAAAAATTACAATCGCGCATGAAGAGGAAAAAAGGTGGTCATATTTAACTGTATTACATTTGAAAATTGATTAGTCAATATTGATATATAGACAGAAATGCGTTGACAATGGTGAAGGTGTCACGCCTCTGCTGGCAGAAGGACCTCCGCGAGAGTGAACGCTACTCTTTCACGTTGACTTGACGTGCGGATTGCTGGCAGATGAATGTAACTTCATCATCTTCATCAGCCATCATTATTTCACCACTGGATGAATACCTCTCTGCAAATCGTTGCCATTTCTCACGGTCCTGTGATGTAACGCATGAGTATGTAATGCAGTACAAGTGGACTACATGTTTCACTTTTATCCACCCTAAAATGTCCTCAAAATGGAACTCCTCTTTGTGCTTGCAATATACGTCTGTTGTATAGAAATTATTGTTGTACAATTTTAATAAATTTGTTCTTTAATTGCAGATATCTAAACAAGTGAAACGTCACCTGCATAACAAGGAACAATGAATAAAAATAAAACCGTTTCTAGGGTATGGACATACGTTGCTCTTTTATTTATCATCGTGAGCATTATTCTGGCATCAGTTTTGATTCACCAGCATGTAAATGCAAACTTTCCCAAGAAATGCCCCAATAAATTTGTTCTAAATGGCATTAAACCCGATTATAAGGCAATAGAGATCTTTTCCGACCTAACGCCAATAGAATTAACAACCGTCAAGGACTTCCTGGTGAACCATAAGGAGCTCAATATTGTTGCCTCAGAAGCTACCGTGAACAGCAACTACATCTACATGATAGAGCTCTACAACCCAGACAAAAAGGAAGCTTTGCATTACTTGGACCATGGAGGAGCCAAACCAGCTCGAGTTGCTAAGGCAGTGGTTTTCCGCGGAGCCGACGTTCAGCCGTCGGTCGTAGAATATCTGATAGGCCCGCTTCCGAATCCAACCTGGTACCGGCCACACAGTCCATCAACGAGGAAACGCGTTATTAATTTTAGCTCTCGGCCAACGACAACCCCGGAATATAAGGCATTACATGGAGAATTTATGCCCAGAGTTTTTGAAAAAGTCAACCACATCCTCAAAGAAAGTTATGGTTATTGGTATACAAACTGTACTAAAAACTGCATTAATGCAGGTGACATACCATTGAGAGGGCTTAAGTCTGGAGATAGGAGGTCTTGGGTCGTATTATTCAGACTTATGGAAGGGTATTTTTTGCAACCATTAAACTTTGAAGTTTTGGTTAACCATGAAAGCTCAAACGTAGAAGAGTGGGCAGTGCAGAAAGTGTTTTACAACGGGCAGTATTTTAATAGTCTGGAAGAACTCATTAGCCAGTATGACAATGGACTCATTGATAAGATCAAGCTAACCGGCACCGTTATAAATTCAGGATATGATCGTCGCGGAGCTTTCAGAGCAGACACGTCTCAGACGGGACCGCGGCAGTATGAGCCTGAGGGCCACCGCTACCAAGTTGACGGGAACTTTGTGCAGTATATGCCCTGGACGTTCGCTTTCAGAATTTCTTACATGGGGCTTCAGATATTTGACATCAAGTACAACGGTGAGAGAATTGTCTATGAGATGGGTCTCCAAGATGCAATCTCCTACTATTCTGGAAACAGTCCCACCGGCACGCAAGGAAAAGCCATTGACTCAGGTTGGCACTTTGGTGCCGACAATTTTGAGCTTGTGAAGGGGATCGACTGCCCGCACACTGCCACGTACCTGGACACGTACCACTTTGTGAACTCGGAGAAGCCGCTGAAATACCCAAACTCCGTCTGCATCTTCGAGTACAACTCTGGTGTGCCATTACGTCGACACTTTGACAGAGATAACCATCTTGGGTTCACCTTCTATGGTGGCTTGGTCAACTATGTACTTGTGATAAGGAGCATCCATAATGTATACAACTATGATTACGTGATGGACTACATATTCTACCAGAATGGAGTCGTCGAGGCAAAGGTTCACCCGACTGGATACCCCTTTACCACATTTTTTTTCGGTGAAGGCCTCAAGTATGGCAACAGAATATCTGATAACGTCCTAGGCAATCTTCACACTCATATGTTAAACTACAAACTGGATATGGATATAGCCGGTAAGTGTCTTTTATATATACAATCGTTCTATTAAAACAATATTGTCAACTATTCGAGCAGTATGTGTTGTGTTAGAATGTGACTTAGATACTGCTGTCAGAACTTTAAATACATGAAAGAAAACAATGATGAACACTTGATCGATGATACACCACACACAGTAATGCTGTGTCATTTATTTACACTCACAAGTAAATGTAACATCACGCCCGGTATTACACTGGAAGGTCTTTGCGTGATAACAAAATCCCCCGAGAAAAGCAGCGTTCCAGACCGGATAGATTTCATTTACACTCAGTTTTCTGGCCGACCAGTTTATTTCTGCTCCTGCATTTTTCAGGCTGTGAGTTTGAATTCCGTAAAAGCGCCCTCCCTCTCTCTCTCTCTCTACCTGTGAAGTAGAATTCTCCTGTGTCTGTGCCTACTTCCGTCAGGCTGTGCGACAGGCTTTTGGCCTGGCCTATTTTGGCCCTTCACGAACCCAACGAATTCTAGATTTGAAGCTTTCGTGACTGCAAGGATTCATATTCTTGGGTTTTTTCGGTAAAGTTACGTGACTTTACCGAAAAAAACCCGGTAAAGTTACGTGACTTTACCGAAAAAACCCAAGAATATGAACCCAACGAATTGAACAGTTTCACTCACATCCGTACAAGCGTTATGAAACCGTCTACTTTAAGCCAAATATGTTTTCAGATAAAAGTTTAAATGGAATTATTACGAAATATTACGTGAAAGTAACTGACGGCATATGTATGACTCTTAAGACAATATACAAACTATACTTTACTATGGTACATTGATGATTCAGCAATACATGAACTTGCATTAAATTCACTTTACAATAAAATATTTTGTACAGCATAAAGGAATGTTTAATATGAATACGTATATAAATGTAAATCGTGAAGAGTGGTGGCAGTAGTTTGCACTCTATGCAATGGACCTGAAAATCTGAGTTTGATTCCCATCAAAATCAAAAATAAGTAGCAAGTGATATTTGAACCTTTCCTAGCCACGAGCCTGAAGTATGATTATACCCGCAGCATTGGGTACCTGACAGTGCTATTAACGTCTGTGGAAGTATGCCTAATGCATAATGAAACAAAGTCATATAAACAGATCAAATAGAGTAGTAGATTCTTTTTATGATTTTTCATTACCAATATATTGCTCTGTTGATGTAGAAATTGTATAAAACACTGCATTACATACCACAAAGGTTAAGCTGAAATTAAACATCATGATATGTAATTTCAAACTGATTTTCAAGCTATAACGTGTTAAAATAAAGTTCACACTTAAATACCATTAAAATAGTGCCTTATTTATATTGGTTAAAGCAATTGCTTTGTACTCCATAAACAACTATATAACTCATGACAAGCTTACGAAATATTGTTTTGTTTATGCATTGCTTTATTTTGTTCAAGTGAATGTGTTTTCTAAATATTTGCATTTCACGATGTTTTTCTTGTCCACAGGCACAAGCAACAGCTTTAAGACCGTGAGCCTGCAGCTCGAGAACACGACCGTCATTTGGAGCCCAGAGCACACCAAGGTCATGCCCCGCGTGAAGCACGACCTCAAGAAGACAGAGTTGGAGGCAGCCTTCAAGTTCGACGTCAGACTTCCATACCTGGTGTTCATGAACGAGAACGCCAGAAACAAGTGGGGCGCCCAGCGTGGTTATCGCGTGCAGCTCACGAGCCACGGAAACCCCCTGTTGCCAGAGGATTACGAAGAGGAGAAAGCTGTCACTTGGAGCAGGTATCTGTGTTTCATCTGCTGGGATTTCCCATGCAGATTTAGGGACCTCACGAATGTTTGGCTGGAATTCACCGAGATGGTGGGTTGAATTATGGAAAACTGCATCCCTACATAATAAAATAGCTTATTGTTTTGTAGTGAACTGATAGTCACAGCCCAATTTCGGGCGGCAAAGTGGTGAGATGTGAATTACCTTGCCTGGTATAGAGTGTGTGGGTTCAATCTCGACCCTGACGCCTGTATATTTAGAGTTTGCGCATTCTCCACGTGGTCACTTGGATTTTTCTCCGGGTACTCCAGTTTTTCCCCTCTACATTTAGAAACGTGTTTAAGAGTATTTGGCTGCTATACATTTCCACATGATAAGCCACTGCAATGAGTTATAATTTGTGGCCAGGTCGCTTCTGAAAAAGAGCTATATTGCTCAGTGGGCATTACCTGGTAAAATAAAAAAAATAGTTTATAGTTTTCAATCAGGCAACCACCAATGACTACTCAAAACATCAAATCATACCAGATTATAAATACAAAACATTCTACTTGTCTGAACCGCAAGCATGAAAGTTAAATACAACTTACTGAAAATATAACACCTTTTGAAGTCTATACGTTACTGAAAATGAAGGAAAATTGACATTTTCAGGATCATTCCACAATGGAAGCTCTGATGTTACAATTAACTCCAGAAATAATTTTTATTGCCTTTGTAAATCAACTATAGTAATATATATGGAACATAATTGATGATTGTATCAATTAAACGTGACATATAACCTGCAAATAAATAGCTAAGGTCAGGGGAAAAAGTATTTGATCCCCTGCTGATTTTGTACGTTTGCCCATTGACAAAGAAATGATCAGTCTATGATTTTAATGGTAGGTTTATTTGAACAGTGAGAGACAGAATAACAACAAAAATCCAGAAAAACGCATGTCAAAAATGTTATAAATTGATTTGCATTTTAATGAGGGAAATAAGACGACCAAAACACATCATAACTACACCACAACTCTAAATGATACTACTGTTTCTCTCAATCACTATAATCTAATTTACAATTGTATAATTGCTGTAAAACATTGAATAAGGCACTATATACATCTACATGAGATAAATATTTCATTTAATCTAATTTGTGTGTTATTCAAGCATTCTTAAATTATACATACATACTGTATAACACCAACATTTCTCAGCATGATGTATATTATAAGTTGTAATTCCACATAAACTGGCACTATTTGAACACATATGTATAATCAACAATAGGGACATTGAAAGTGTGTTGTTTGGAAAGATGGAAAGGAACTAGAAATAGAGGAAGACCTCACAGAGAATGGCTTGACGACGACATAAGACATGAGTGCCAAAAAGATGTGAACTGAGCATTTTGGTACAAGACAGAGAAAAGTGGAAACTAATTACTAAATGGGCTATCTGGCCATGGATCGTGATGGTGATGAATTCCACGTAACCATTTAATGCAGCGGTCGGGAACCTATGGCTCGCGAGCCATATATGGCTCTTCGGTGACGGCATATGGCTCCCAGACAATTTTGAGTTGAAAAAAAAATCAGTTTGGAACTGATTTTAAATACTTGTGATATTGCTTAATAATAATGTGTCTTTTTAAAGTAAACAGACATTAGTTTTGAAGATAAATTTCACGGGTCACGGGTCCCGTGACCAGAAGTCGCATTAAAAGTAAGACATATTTAATTTATTATACGTTAAAAATACTATATGGCTCTCAATGAAAGATATTTAGAAATATTTGGCTTTTATGGCTCTCCCACTCAAAAGGTTCCCGACCCCTGATTTAATGTCTCCCTTCTACCCAAGGTACCAGGTGGCAGTGACGAAACTCAAAGAGACTGAGCGACATAGCTCCAGCATCTATCAGCAGAACGACCCTTGGACCCAGCGGTCTATTTCCAGGATTTCCTCAAAGACAATGAAAACATCGTGAATGAGGTGGCTTACAAATATGTCAACACGTATTTTGTGTTCTTGGATATTTTTGAATTAGCTCACTGAAAAATGCATTTACTGTTCATTTTATGTCAAACAGTGTTGTTATATAAAGGAGACTATATTCATTAAGAAATGCCAAAAATGAACTTTTTACATGGGGATGAAACTTTGTTAATGAGAAAAAGAAAATAGACTTTTGGCCATGCTACTTTACTGTATTGCACCAGAAGGGTAGTTCAAAAACTGCACTGGTGATGCACTAACTTGTAGCAAGGAGTTGAGATGTGAGGAGAGATATTTTCTTAACGAAAATATTCTTCATAACACCAATGGAACCTCATTTGCCAGTAAAAAATATGATAATTGGTTTTTTACCCTTCTATCTGGCAACAAAACTGACACCTTTTTTTACAAGGAGTCATGTTTGCATAGACCACAATACCTGCAGTCATAATGCAAACAAAAAACATAATTCTGTTAATGTGCACTGTCCTTGAAGTTGATTGGTCCACACCCGAGACAGCTTTCCTTAGAGCCTAGTCTCACATGGGTTGGACCAGATGACGCCAAAAGGACAGTGCACATTATCAGAGTTATGTTTTTTGTTTTCATTATGACTGCAGGTATTGTGGTCTATGCAAACATGACTCCTTGTAAAAAAGGTGTCAGTTTTGTTGCCAGATAGAAGGGTAAAAAACCAATTATCATATTCTTAATAAGTCAAGCAGATTTCAACTGCAACATCAAAATGTTTTGTTCATCTTCTTGGTTTTTTCGGTAAAGTCACGTAGAAGGGAAGTAATAAAATAATAAAAATAAAACATAATAAAATAATTCTCACGACGTTTCGGCTACAACGCAAGCAGCCGTCTTCAGGTGAAGAATGAGACACTGCCAAGTTAGGAGCTTTGTTCATGTAATAAGTCAACGTGATTTGTCAAAGTGATTTCTTACTCAAATGAACACTGAGGTGGTGCTTATCTCCCGTTTAAAACTTCGAGCCAGTGGTAAATAATACACATTTATATGACAGGGGCAAATGTGTCCATGGGACAACCCCTGCTGACTTCCTCATAAAGTGGTCCTTATTTTAGCCCACCCAAGAGGGATAATGAACTCAGTCGACAGCCATGCACGATTTCAATAAGCAATCTTCCCATTGAGCCGTTTGCACTACCGCTGAGCCACCTGGCTGGTTGATATTTGCTTTCCTTGATGTAAGATTAAAAAAATACTCGTAGCAGAACAATCGAGGCTTCACAATAGTGCTAACGCCATCGCCTGTGGCCGTGCCGCTGGGCAGGACTTGGTGGCCTGGGTGACGGTGGGCTTCGTGCACATCCCCACTCGGAGGACGTCCCCAACACGGCCACCGCCTGCAACGGCGCGGGCTTCTTCTTCCGGCCGTTCAACTTCTACGACGAGGACCCATCGGTGGCCTCGCGGGACGTCGTGATCCTGCGCCCTGGGTCTCACAGCTCTGGAAAGCCTGTCGTGTCCTGGTGGACGGAGCAGAGCCCCACTGATCCCAGCGTGTGCTTGCCCGACATTCAGCCACTAGCTTACAACGGCACACGCACTCCTGTGTAAGTGTAACGCACAAAGTATTGTTGAGATAGCTGTGATGTCATGTTAAATCAATTGTATTCTTGCATTTATTCAACACATTATGAATAATATATGGTGAAAAAAAGATGAAATAGTATGCAGGTTCATCCAAAAGTCTCTGTGCAGTGGGCGCAAATATTAACCAGAGCCTGGATGAAATGAGAATGGAAATTACCCACGTGCAAGGGACATATACAGACAAAATAATGTACCGTAATCATTTGTTTTCAAACATGTTAGGACATGTTCTGTAGTGTTTGGATGTAGATTGTTCCCAATTAAATTAATTACTGTGAATTGTAAAGACAGTTATTTTGTACAGAGACTCTCTGTCACCTTGTTTATATGTGGGTATTAAGCAAAAATGAATACAATTATTCTGCACGTAACTTTGTTCCATTCCACAGACGTTGCACAATCAGTACAAACCTCTTTATTTTTGGGCATAGCATTTGTATTTCGAATCACCAGTCAGTAATCTCAGTGTGTTGAGATTCCATTAATGGTGCTCCAACGCTTTAACTCCCTTCTTGCCTGGGTGGATCAGCCCAGGGAGCCTAGCAAGGGATGCAGGCAAGGTAAGGTGGCTGGCCTGCTTGGCCTATGAAGAGGTTTACCACCTGTCCATGTTTGACCGAGACAGATCAGGAATTGGAACCTGTGTTCAGGTTGCAAGACATTGTCCCTAGATCTGGTGGTATTATGCTGAACTTGATTACAGTGTACATGCTGCCCTGCTTTGGTAGACCTAAGCTGACAAAACTATGTCTGGGTTTTATCGATGAACAAGGAGGCAACACTTCCAATGAAAAACACAACTAGGCATGTTAGAAAAGTAATTAAGAAAAAAACCAAATATATTCGCGAAATATTTGAGGTGCTTTTTAATTTATTTAACCTCATAAAAATTAATAATTTTTATTATCAAGCATTTCGCCATCATAATTCTAAATTTTAGTCATGTTTGAATATCTCCATGATGACCACATGACCCCATCCAGCCAATCGGAGCACATTACCCTCTAACATCTGCACATTTTGAAAGCTGATTAAACATTGTTGAGTGTTGCCAGAGTGAAACTTTTCTTTGTGTTGCACCTTGTCACGGAGTAACAGGGGCAGCAACGTTGCTCACAACATTATATTACATGAAAATTGTACCATTTATCTTTGCCTTTTAACAATGTCATTAATCTCTGGATCAAAGCGATTAAATAGGCATTATCAATATTTTAATTTTCTCTATGGAAGCTTTCAAGTCCCATGCTGATACTGACAAATCGCACACATATCTAGACGTGTAAATGTTAATGTTGAATATTAATAGCACATCGACATTGCTGTATCCCCGAGTTTGAAATTAAGTTGGCAAGCTTCCCCTTCAGCTCACCTCCAACTTTAGAAATTCTCACGGATACTAACCAATCGCTCCTCTTCTTGGTGGCCTGCCACACATTGACTCTAGAAACTTTAAGAGCTCCGTTCTTCTCATCTTCTGTATTCTTGAAAACGGTTATGTTAGGTAAAGGGTGATTAGATGTAGGGTGGTGGCTCTGCATGTGGCCTGAAGTCCATCACTGGAAGCGAGGGTTGGTGGATCGCACAAATGTTGTGAAAATCCCTTCTAGTGGACGTTGAGGTGCCGTACACTGGCTTTCCAGGTGAATGCAGTACAGCAAGTGGACTAATCGACATCTGTTTCCATCTGTATGGGAATAGAGTATTGCTCCCCTCTGGGCATTTTTTGGGGTGCTTCAGTTTCCTCCCCCATTATAAACGCTCGTTATTTAGGTTGACTGCCGATATTGGGAAATTGTTGACACCGGACCACTGTCCGGTTGCTTCTCAGTTCAGAGATTGGGCGATGCATTTTGCATACGGCTACGCTATGTAAAACTGAACACATGCGCATATCGTAGTTACAATAGTGGTGAAATGTACTTTATCACGCCATGTTTTGTCGCCCTCTGTATAGTTTCGGACACGAATAAAGATTAACAATGTGTAGCACCCACTGACCTGTGTGTATCCTTTCACTCGGAATTGGGTTGGCAGTTCTCCAGCTCCGCCGCAGTTCTGGTAGCTTAGCCGCTCCAGGCTGGCTCCAGATCTGAGAGAAAAACTCATTGGAATGCCCATAGGCTAACGTGGAGACATAGAGAATGCCCATTGGCTAACATTGAGAAACAGATTGCCATAGGCTGACCATGGAGAATACGGAATGCCCATAAAAGTGGCTGACTTTGGCTCAATTTTTAGTTGTGAGGTCCTGGGGTAGTCGGGGCAGGGGTTGGTTTTTTCGGTAAAGTCATGTAGGTAAAAAATTTAAATAAATTAAATCACGACGTTTCGGGCGCAACACAAGCGTTCATCTTCAGTTGGGGACAACTTAGCGAAAGCACACAGCTTAAGTGTGTCTCAGAGGTGGCTGTGACGAGTAATTATACTGGTAGGAACGAAGTGGACCAGCCTACAATAGATTATATCGTCCATCCGTTTGTCCGTCCGTCCGTGTAGCAACATCGCCCCCTACTGCAAACACTTGGCATTACCCTACAAAAACCTTTAGACTCTGTGAGGCTTTCCTGGCTAAACAAGTGTAACATTCCCTTATAATTCCCTCAGATAGCTTTTAATTAAAACATTTAAATTAATGAGGCTTTCCTGGCTAAACACGTGTAACATTCCCTTATAATTCCCTGAGATAGCTTTTAATTAAAACTTTGAAATTAAATAAAAAACTCAAAGCGCCCTAAAGCCTACAGCTAGGCCTAAAGCCTAGAACTAGGCCTCAAAGTCTCCCTTCGTATTGTACCCCCACGTGTGTGCAAGGAAGTTAATGTTTAACAATGTTACATTCCCTGATGCTTTTAAATAGAAACATTTAAATTTAAAGCTTTTACATAAATAATAAAAACAGGTAAATTAAAAATTAACTCACGGCGGCCTAAAGCCTACAGCTAGGCCTAAAGCCTAGACCTAGGCCTCAAACTCTCCCTTCGTATCGTACCCCGCGTGTGTGAAAGGGAGTTAATGTTTAACAATGTTACATTCCCTGATGTTTTTTAATAGAAACATTTACATTTAAAGCTTTTACATTAAAAACAAAACCCTACCCCCTCCTCGTCGGCGGCTCTCCAGCCTAGAGCCAGGCCTGGGAATCTCTCCCCCGCTAGGGGTGTATTGGGCGGGGCTACAGCGGCAGGGGGCGGGGCTACGCGGGGCTGGGCGGGACAACGGCGGCAGGGGGCGTGGGCACGAGGTGGAGGGCGGGGCTATGCGGGGTTGGGGCGGGGTTACGGTGGTAAGGGGCAGGGCAACGAGCTGGGGGCGGGGACACCGAGATGGGGCAGGGCCACGGGTGGCCGGGGCGGGGTTACGCGAGTGGAGGGCGGGGCTACGGGGCATCCACTTATTGGCGGCCATGTTTTTGCCATTTCATTTTATTATAGCCACTAGCTGTATTACCCGGCTTCGCCCGGGACTTGTATCCACCACGGCCGGCCGCCTTTGTCTCCCCAGTGGCGATGTTAATACGCCACACCAGTTACTCGTTTTGCGGCTGAGTCCCTCCCTCACCACTCTCCCTCCCTCACCACTGTCCCTCCCTCACCACTCTCCCTCCCTCACCACTCACGCACGGCCGCCTTTGTCTCCCCAGTGGCGATGTTAATACGCCACACCAGTTACTCGTTTGAGGCTGAGTCGACCTAGGGGAGGTTCAAATAATCGTCACCGGTGGTGGCCGTGAGCGGGAATGGAACTCGGTTCGCCGGGTTTGTAGCGCAGCGTAGCGTTAACCACTACACCCACCGCTCCTCACACACCACACACGCACAGACACACACACAGACACAGACACACAGACACACACACACAGACACACACACACAGACACAGACAGCACGCTAAGCACTACACTACCGTTCCCCCTACACAACACACGCGCGCGCGTCCATAGGTACACATACACGCGCTTGCTGCAGACACACACGACTGTCAGGGTGCGTACGGCAGTAAACGACTGAAAAAGAAAGCGGCAATGCTGCGCGAGGAACGCCTTAGACCTGCAACACATTTGTGTAATGCGAGCGTAAACACACAAACACATACAAACACATACACACACATACATACAAAGACAAAGACCCCCCGTATAGCCTTAACAGACTGTAGGGCAAGTGTTGTTAGCGAGCACCTATGAAGGCCGGCACGGCACACGAGGGGGTGGGTGGCCAACACCACGCCCGACCGCCTTTGTCTCCCTAGTGGATGTTTACACACCGCACCAGGTACTCATTTGAGGCTGAGTCGACCTAGGGGAGGCCCAGACCGGTTCAGATAATCGTCACTGGTGTTGGCCGTGAGCGGGAATCGAACCCGGGTCGCCAGGTTCGTAGCGCAGCGCGCTAACCGCTACACCACCGCTCCCCCTACATACACACACATACACACAAACACATACACACACATACACACACATACATACACACAGACATACACATACACACAAACACACACATACATACACACAAAAACAGACAATACACACACACATACATGCAGACACACAGACAGACACATAACACACATACATACACACACATACATACACATAAACACATCCACAGACGTACATACACACATACATACAGACACGCAGACATACACATAAACACATACAAAAAAACCCACATACATACACACACACATACACACAAACACATACACACACATACATACACACATGCATACAGACACACAGACATACACAAACATATACACACATACACATGACCCGGCTTCGCCCGGGACTTGGATCCACCACGCCCGGCCGCCTTTGTCTCCCCAGTGCCGATGTTAATATGCCACACCAGTTACTCGTTTGAGGCTGAGTCGACCTAGGGGAGGTTCAAATAATCGTCACCGGTGGTGGCCGTGAGCGGGAATCGAACTCGGTTCGCCGGGTTGGTAGCGCAGCGTAGCGTTAAGCACTACACCCACCGCTCCTCACACACCACACACGCACAGACACACACAGACACACACACAGACACACGCACACACACACGCAGATAGACACACAGACACACACACACACAGACACACAGACAGCACGCTAAGTACTACACTACCGCTCCCCACACACCACACACAGACACACACACAGACACACACAGACACACACACACAGACACAGACAGCACGCTAAGCACTACACTACCGTTCCCCTACACAACACACGCGCGCGCGTCCATAGGTACACATACACGCGCTTGCTGCAGACACACACGACTTTCAGGGTGCGCACGGCAGTAAACGACTGCAATAATAAAGCGGCAATGCTGCGCGAGGAACGCCTTAGACCTGCAAGACATTTGTGTAATGCGAGCGAACCCAGTTCTTTTTATTGCGGGGCTGCCGCAAGTCAGCAGTAGGCGATAAGATCCAAGTGCCCACTTAAACAGGACTTCTCCACGCAGTTCCTACAGGTCTTGATCCATTCGAGATTCTTGGACTCAGTGTAAGGTAATCACAATTAGCACTCTGAACCTCTATTTAGGCTTTTAATACCTATTGCTACGAAAATTCTTATAGCTGAGTCAGTTCCTCTATCGTTAGCAATCCAGGAGAACAACAATACTTGATGGATGTTGGGCAGAGAGATGAACCCGACGCAAGCGATCATATCATTTAATTCCGCAGGAATCGGGTAGGGCCGCTTGGGCCTTGTGTTTCCCGACGTGTCTTATTAAGCCTGAAAATAGCAAATATGACTGTTAGTTTGAACGGGACGATCGCCACCGGGAAGGGTGATACATGAGTTGGCTACGCTTCAACGTATCCTGATAAGGCATCGTCATTACAGCCGAGATCATTCTGGCCGCGTGAATATGTGGCTAGTGGATGGATGCCACGCATCGTTGACCGCTGAATAAATACATGTACATATTGTCAACCTTTGGGGCCGCAGGATCGGTATACTATCCGCTGTGCCGAAGTTTCAAGAGCACCCACGGCACTCCATAACATACCGTGTTGGAAGAGCGTCATCAAAAGCAAATGAATTCGTGTCGATAGGCCTTACTTATCCGCAATATCTAGACAGCATATTACTCATTAGTATCTATGAGGGCTGGTAATCGACTCTTGGTATTAGCATGCCCAAATACGGTCCTAGATATACACTGCAAGTAGCTTCCGGTCAACTAGCACTAAATACTTTAACGCGTATTACTCGGCCTCTACCAGGTTTGCTAGATATCCAGCGTGAAACCCGCATTTCGCCCAATCCGTGGCGCTTGCCCTGCCTTAAATAAAGCGACCGTCCCGTCACGCTACAGGACGCCTAGCAGAGTAACAATTCTGTGGGTTGAAAATGATACCTATGAATTTGTGGGAATACTCCCTTGAGGAACCACCCGCTCAATGGGTCACGAGTTGACTAATAAGGTAACAAACTACGGAGCTTGGCAGGCATCCCCTTGACCCATTCTCGGGATTAGTTGGTGATCTGCCTCAGGTTGTAGACGATTTGCGCCACCGGAGTTGCCTGCATGCCTCAGCGAAGGGCCCGTAGTTCGACTACCAATTCCAATCACCAGCTCAATCGGGCACATTCCTTCGTATCCGTGGCCTTCACCTAATATATACAATTGCAAACCAGCCATACCGTAAGAGCTAATAGCGAGAAACTTGCATATGAGTCACACATTATTAATATTAAATGGAATAGTCGAGATTTCATCCCGCTGGAGCCGAGTGACGAGTCCTGCTATCCTTTCGACTTCGATGCAAGAAAGGGAACTCAGGACGGAATCTCCATCCGGTATCCACCTATTGAGGACGGGCTTATCAAAACAGGCCGGTGTGCTCGTCCAGTGCCGTCGAATCTATTTAAGCGCATTCTAGCTGTTCGGCACGGCTTTCGGGATCCGTGGAGAGAGTCAACTCTTTAAACAAGAATATTACTTTCAACACGATATACTATAAGGACGTAGTTATAGAGAGCCACCTCCGCAATGGGTTCCAGTGCCCGGTAAGTATGGCCCTGGTATCAACCCGCGCTACCGCAATAAAGAACCTCGCCAGAACGTAGTATTAGTTAGCAGCACGAGCTGATTCTGGCTAATGGCACCACAAGTGACAAGTGACGTCCAGCCGATCGGTCCGACGTGTTTAGTTATTTTAACCTTCCAAAATTTCAGTACTCCTTAGGTTACCCTGTGCAGGCCCATATCATGTTCCCGCAGGTGGTTCGACAGCGACGCAAGAGGAACGAAGCCCTGCGAGATCGGCTGAGCTGTTCAAGGCCCTTTGGAAGGTTGGTTACATGTGGTGTGCCCCGCCAGGCCATCTCATTAGCTTCCCCCTTACTGAGTTTGTCGGAAGAGGCCGCGAGAAATATGCTGTCCTCTTATTAGGCACGGCCGAGGTGGTAAAGTCGGTATCAGTAGTATCATCCCGGGACCGTGTAGATTTTCCTCGCGCTTGTTGATATTCGCTCGTGTATTCCACTCTTTTCATAGCTGGGTCCTGTCCGCCTTCTCCTATCTGCGAGAACAATGCTTCAATGCGAGGAGCTACGCAATGCGCTTCCGTTCGCTCGTACTCCCTCAGAGCTGTTCGAAATGCAGCTTATACCACCGAAAAGAGATCGCTCACAACTTCGGGATATTAAGTTAATCAATGGGGCCTACATTTCATTGTTACCAGCAGGCCCGGGAAAATAATTTTACATATGCATTGGTGAGATTCTCGGTATAGGTTAAGAACGTGTGCTAACACCTAAGATCAGCCGCTACCCACAAGAGTTTTAAGAAAGATGAAAACCGCGTAGTCGCAGTGGACAGACATGCATGTTTAGTGAGTACCAGCACTGTTCTGCGACGGTATGAATTGGTATATGGAATAACGTCTCCCGCTGTCGCGGTGCCGGGGGCTACTAGGGTTGTACCCTATCGAGTAAGCCTGGATGCTGACTGAGCAACGCTTTTTGGCATAAAGAGTGCCCACCATACCGTATCGCTCCTTCAACCAGCAAGATCATCCTCTATCGCCTGTTAGGCTGCGCCTTGCCCATGATAAGCCCCAGGTTTGTTATCTGGTGTACTATTCATAGTCTTATCACGTACCGCGAACGTCCCTGTTTAGTCACGGTTCCCCGCAAACTTTTATCCGGCCATGACCGATACCCATGACATTGCTTGTTCATACTAGCCCCATCCCCTGATTGGGACCCCGTTGGGCACCTGCACTCTCGATACTTTAGATCAGGTACCACCCGAGCCCTCATCTCGGATGGTCAGAGTACAAGGGATTAATTTTATAACTTAGGCGACAAGGCTAGGCCATGCCTCGATTGTTAGGGCACAGCTGCGATCTGAGATAACGTCTGGACATCGAACCGTGCTCTTAGGTTTATACCAACCTGACAGCGGGCGCCCGTCAACATTACAACGTCTGGCTAACGATGCATTCGAAAGAGTGTTTTGCTATTCGTACTACCGCCTCAAAACGCCTAGCCGGTCGCCCCTGCTGATGAATAGCCGTTGTTAGTCTGCCGATTGAGAGGCGGAAGGGCGAGTCTTCGTACCGAAATGTTTCGTTTTTCTCGTGCCACCAGAACGGGGTCTAGTTTCACTTAGTCAATTGTCATTATACAGTTTTCATCCTTATACGAAAGGCCTATTTACAGTTCTCGATTACCAGGTAAATCATCACGCACCGTATGTAATGATCGATTTTATATGAGATTGTCTTGGTGGAAACGCCAGTTGCTGTGTGAATGTGAATCAGATAGGCTAACCTATCGCCAATAGGGGCGGTTGCCCGACTGATGGTTTCAGCATCGATCCTGCTACAGGGCGGGTAGAAGAATCCTCGACACTACGAGGGAATTGGAGGTTATTGTTACTGGAAATCCCGATGCTTATTCGCTGGTGTTATCATACATTCTTGAGATGGGGCGAGTGCAGTATAAGAGTGTGATGTTTAGCAGTAACCCTGCAATAAACTTACGACCACCGATCTAGCATTGTAGGCAAAATGGACGTCCATAATTGTTTACACCTAATAAGCCGCCTCGTTAAAAATCAAAGCTAGAGGGGGATCTCCAATTACTTCCTTCATTTCTATTTCCCGGGACATATCCAGCTATTAAGCAGCGAAGGCTCTCTGTACCGGCGGTATGGTCCGGTCGAAAATTAGAACGGCGTTCAACCTTTTGCCAATCACTGTACAAGCCCACCTGCCTATCAGTGGTTCAACGCTTATAAGGATGTCTTTTAAGTAAAGCCCATAGTCGAGGATCCACGGTATTCAATACACACTGTATCTCCGACACACTCTTCGTCTATTAAGCGAATTGGATTATGCCATTCTCCAACTGGTTTGGACTTGATGTGTTAGTGGAGATGTATTCTTTGCTCGACACACGAACGTGCCGGAACCCATACAGCCCGTCTAGGTTTAATTGCTCTAATGAAGTTCACGCTTCGATTGAGTCACGGCTTAGTCCATGAAGGTGTACGTGTGCCACTCTCCCATAAATGCTCAGGCTACGCATTGGGATGTACCTCCATGTCGCAATCAATCCACGCGTTAGGGAGTATACAATAACCCCCCTGCACAATTGCAAGTTATATACTAGGTTCAGAGTGCCCGTACCCACCGGCCTCGAATGTATGCTAGTGCAGGAACGTCAAACACGAACCCCGTCAAGCCCACTCCAAGTGGAGCTGTCCAGTCCCTTGTGTCTACCAACCGCTTGAGTACTTTTGGTTCAATAGTCAATGGGCATCGGCGATTTCAGTACAGAGAACGCACGGGACCTTGCGGGCCTGTGTCCACGTTGTCAGAAGGTCAAACGGGTTACCGTCTGTTGGCATAGCGTGGTGGTACGGACTGTGCAAAAACACGCTCAACTGAATCGGTTCCCTTCTTTCTATCACACCAAGATTGTCTCATGACGACTTTCGCATTCGAGAAGCGGTATGCGGTGGGACTGCGGTCATAGGTAGCGTCTCGGCGATACGCCCGATGGACTCGGGAGTGAGCCCACGTGAGGCCTTTTTGGACTCGCTCTTAACACGGTGAGCGACCGTTTACGCAATATTGGACCGTCTCTTAATAATGCTGGAGATGTTCTAAATAATCCTTTAAGGGTACTATTGCGCCTGGAGTGGAGAGTCCGTATATCCATACCCTACCTTTCACGTCAATGACAGGTGACAGATATTTGATTTCGGAGGCCAACCGGGTTGTAGTTTCCTCTGGTTGTTGCCCGCAGATTTGCTGTAAACCCTTACGTGAGCTTCATGGCTAGGGTTGATATTTTTAATCTACGCGCGGACATAGATCTACATATTTCCTATACCCAGCGGAAGATTCAATGTCCATACTTTCAAGCTTATCGAAACCGATGGGGACAATCGTGAATGAAGAATTAGGAGCTGAAGCTGGGGATACTTCTCACAGATACGGTGTAAGTTACAGCATAGGAACTGCCGCTAACGCGATTCTCCTTTTGATACTATTCCTTACCCGACATTGGATGGTTAGAATTAGGTTATTGTGGTTTTGGTAGTGACTAAAGGGCGGGGGGGCGATTTTGAAAGGCCATTACTCGCGGTTTATTGCTCGTAGTCTCGCCGGGCCTCCTATGCTCCTAAGAAGTTTAAAACGTTTGTAAGAATGCCCTCCTCGTGCTAACTATTGTTTTCACCCAAACTTCCAACCGTGGCAATGATTATTCACACGGCAGTCCCTGAAACCTACGACGCCCTCAGCTGCACGCTAGCGAATGCCCGATGAACACGTGAGAACTGTTTAAGATACATGTCCAGGTACGAGATGTGGCGCCACGTTAGGGGGTAATTAGGAGTGGCGCTGATATATTGCCTGCGCCGCCTTACCCTCGTATACATGCGCCTACTTCCGTGCCTTGACCAAAGGTACATAGCCCGTGTGATACCTGCTCAGGTAAAGGTCGCGTTATTCCATTGAAGGTACTAAGGACCGCCGGGGCACTATCTGGACAACTTGGAACTCCGGGCAGTTTTGGCGGAGTGTACTGCATAACTAGTTATCTATAGTGTACGGGGAGTTGCCATAAGGCTTGCTCTTCGCTAAGCAGTGAAGATCGGCTGCGTGTGCTCCGGATCGGCTGTCTTAGCGGGGATTTAGGGAGTGTAGGCCAGGCTTTTGGCACTCTTTCCGGATCAAAGCGGTCGCAGGGCACGTGTTATTTGACGAGTCACGCGGTCACATACTTTCAGAGCAATACCGGGCACGTCTTTACGTGGCTGTAGCAGAATGATCGATGCAACGCAATGTAGATTGTACTGATTCGTTACTGAATCGAGCCAGTTCAAGTTTCTGAACTTAAGTGCGCTCCAATGTTGACCGTCTCTTAGTAAAAGGGTCTCCATGTGATCTTGCAAAAACAATTCACAGGGCCCTCCTCTGCGGGGCAGTTCATAATGAGGCGGCACATTAAGGATCATGGTTGTGCCGACGTAACTAGCAAGGCACCGAACGTTTGCCACTGGAATAATACCTATAAAGCCGTTGTGCTGCATCATGTAAGCCTACCGCGCATGCTGAAGCGTGCAAAGTCACGCGTATTGTCGTGTTCGAGAAATACGCTAAGTGTCGAGCGGCGGTGGGCTGTAGACTTGACCGCATGCAATGTCATACTCATTGGCTCAAAAGGGACGGTGTAGCCCGACCGGCACCCGCTTGGTTGTCATTTCTCTTCAAGGGCCCGCCGCTGCATCGTCTGGCACAGTATATAAAAACTGCTCTCGTCAATACAACGTGACTCGGATCACAAAAAGCGGTTGCAAGGATCTACGAAGACTTAGACATGTAGAGTGAATCTGCAGCCTCTATTGTAAGGTTTATTATAATAGAAACTCGGAAGGTTTCAAGCAAATTACCCTCGTGTGCGTGCCTGGGTCTCTATGCGTGATCTGAGCGCCCTGATTTCCGGTGCCACCGATCATGAAATCCGCAGTGTCGAGGCCGACATAACTTGAGGGGTGCAGGTACTGGTAGCTGGTGCGGCTGTAATCTCCATTTCAGCTCCTCGAAATGTAGTCACACCCGCTATGTAGTTGTTTCGTAGGTCTGTCGTGGGCTCTGTGGTGTGTAAAACTAAAAGCCTGCGTTATGCCAATCAATCTAGGGCCTCGGAAACAGACTCTTGCACGCAGTACCCACCTTTATTCTTAGGAAGTCAGTGGAGGTCTCTTTCCAAGGCTCTCGCTGTAACACTCTGGGCCAGGAAGACAACTGATAGAAACGGATCCATTGGGTCCCTCAGGGGATTCCTAGATTATTTGCGGGGGCACCTCAAAAGACGTTCCCGAACCCCAACAGGCTGCCACCGGGATCTGGACTTCATGTGAGTGAGGTGTAGTATGGCTTCGAATGGCTCAGGCGGTCGACTCACCGAACTAGACAATCGAGTTCCGCCTTGTGCAGCGACCGTGTTACGCGCTTTACCAAAATTCTTCATCACAAGACACAAGTACACCCATGTTGATGCAGATTAAGCACGTGGGTCACCCCCCGATCTTGCCCTAATGCATCCAATCTAAGAGTCCGAGAGATCGCTGACCACCGTTTCTGCCTTTCCATCTGGGTAGAGATTCAATTAACTGTATTATGCCCCACCCGGCAAGAGGCTGTCACTTAAGCGGTGTGGTTGTCGGGAGTCACCATGTCGATACCTTGGATGAACGTCCTGGCGCAATAGGAGCTTTATCACCAACGTGTGTATTACTCATACGTCAAGAAATACACTAGCTAGGAGACCCAAGGATTGCACCCATCCGAGTTCCGCGTATCCCTTAAAGCTAGTGCCCCCGTTGTACAAGCGAGTGTGCTGGCGAACATAACACAATGTAATCCTCAGGGGGCTAACATCCCACGATCCAACAAATCTATTAGCGTTAGGAGTCTAGCTTGACGTTACGGCCAGGTCCAGCATATTGGTATACCCTCCATACACCCGAGCTTTGTTTCTCATCGGGCAGTAAACTCGTCTGTTTGCAAATGTATCGGATCTGTGTCTAGGGAAGCGAATAGATATCATGTAGCCCGAGACTTGATGTGCCGTTTTAAGGTTGCCTTGGCCAAAATGCACGATTTTCCTTACCCTCTGTAGCTAGCGAGGTGGGTAAAAGTCGGGAACTAAACGGCTAGTTGTCTAAAAAATTGGCATTCAGCGTTAGATCTACGTGTATACTAAAGCGACCTTGTCATTGCTTGGGGCTCTCCCACGCTAGCATCAGTCCTAGGAACGAAAGTTTACCATCGCATTCGAAATTTGGTTATCTAATAAACTGCGGCTCTGTGGTCTATCAATTGATCCCTCCGGGTGGATTGCGAGGTCGATTCAGTTAGCCGTTATGCAAAAGTGCGATGCGCAAACCCCTACCGAAGCCCTTTGCGATGACGCCTTACCCCCACCTTACCCAATTCGAATCATCTAGACCCTTGAATTGCTGATCCGGCTGAGTACAGAGTGAAGGTTGAAATTGCGTGAAGCGGACAATCTACGCCCCAACCTGGCGATAGCGTCAGCATAACTTACATAACCGGTAACGTAATGTTTTGAATGCTTCGTCAGCCCGAAGACCTCCTTGGTTGAGAGCAGCCGAATGTCCCCTGTTTCCGTCTGAAGCATCTGTCAGCCCGACCCGTCACTCCGCGTGATCTGTGCCTACCAACGGCTTGGGCAGGATCACAGTTTTATGCCTTGTCGGCTATCACTCCACGTGATGCTCTTATTGCTCTCACGGTGGAAAGGCGCCTGCGATTGACTCTCGTCAGTCACGAAGTTAAACAAGCCCGGACTCTTTAAACCGACAAACTGGCCGTTCAAAAAACCCGAAGACACAATAGAAAGGACTAAGCTCCCACTCTCGGAGCGAACCTAGCAGTCCGCGCGCATTCTTAGAACCCAGGGATAAGCAATGCTGACGGGGACAGTTAGATGATAACAATAGCGCGGACGCCGCGCACCCCACGCCCTTACCGAGTGCTGAAATCTGGTACAACGTTTACTGGCTCTAGGCTACAGCAACCGCATCCAGTCTGTGCTAATTGTGATGCTTAGGTTCTGAACTACTTCGCCCGTTACTCTTCGAGCACTCGCCGGTAACCCATGAAGATCTGCACCCGGGTTTCACACAATCTTTCTCGTGGGGCGATAACTCGTACACTCGTAACCTCCCTGGCCCTCAGATCCATTGGGGGCGGGTACATTACAGTATGCAGTAGACGATTCCCTTCAAAACCTGTACCTCACGCCCTCCAATGTAGGCGGTGACAACTTCACGAGCTTCTCCACGTTAAGATGAACGGCATCTAGTCACAGTGGTACCGAGAAGTATGTTCGACGAGATCGTCAACAGCACTCTAACCTTATGGCCAGTCTCAGGCTTTAAGATCGAATCTACTCGTATTAAGTGCCTAGGTACTCGCGGCGTAGCGCAATGGCGGATTCGGATCCTTAGATGCATTCGCCCTGGTGCATATTCGAGCCAGAACCTTTCACTACTGATCCTGTTAGTTTAGTATGGTACTCTGCAATGAAGAGGGAACCAACTATGGATTCATTATGACCCAGGGAAGCCCATGCAAGTTGTGTCTAAGGCCTTTTTTCTCGCCAACGCCTCTTTACCGTTTTAATCAACTACCGGTATTAGAGAATAGAATTATGATGTTCTGAGACTCCAACGGAGGACACGTGCAAATCTATCTCGCTGAACGAGGAGTCAGGTTGTTTGGGCATAGTCTCGGACCCGGGAGGTAGTCAAAACGCCGTCCCTTTCGTGAAACGCCATGGAAATATAATCGTAGTCGGTTAGCCCATCTTGGTTTATTGTCGCTGCTAATATTCGGCGCAGTTCAGGTTCTGTAGCCAGCAGAATCCTTAATTTCAGCAACATTGATAGCT